CCCGTGGGCAGGCGCCCGCCACCGCTGCTGGAGGAAGGAGATAAACCCAGCAAGCTGCTCCTGGGAGCAGCTGCTGGAGTTCCAGCAGAGACCGCGCAGAGCCCGGCTGGAGCGCTGCGGAGTGGGGTAAGTTCGGGCTCTGCTGGTGCGCTCTCTGCACGTCCCTTTCTCCCCCTGCTGGGGGAGCGGCAGTGCACGGACCCGTTCAATCTGCTGTGCTCCGCATGGTGGGTCTGGGGGGGTGGGGGCTTGTGCTGAGGGGAGGGAGCAGGGCAGGAGGAGAAAGGGGAAGGCACCAAGGGACAGGGTGGAGAAGAGACAAATGCCGGGGGGCTAAGTGAAGACAATGAGGAAAAGGGCAGGAGGGGAGGTGGAGGGGAGAGGGTGATGCTGGGAGAGGAGAGAGGAAGGGCATTGGGGGCAAGAGGCGGGAGGTGCTGGGAGAAGGGGTGAAAGGAGGGGTGGGCATGAGGAAGGCGGGGATGGAGCAAGTCGTGTGAGGCCAGAGAGGGGCATGCGGAGAACTGGGGCAGAGGGTGGGGAGGGGGTGGGCATCAGGGAAAAAGGGCAAGGGGGGATGGGCAGTGAGGGGAAAGTGGAGACACCAGGAGGGTGCAGGTGCCAGGGGATTCTGGGGTGAAGCAGAAGGACAGACACCTGCAGGGGAGGGACCAGCACCAGAGGGGAGGGGATGAGGAGGGGTAGCTCACATGATCAAAGGGGCTGCTGGAGGAGTGGGTGCACGGGGGAGAGAAGGGCTGGTGCAGGGGGACAAGTTCCAGGAGGGCTGAGGGGAGTGAGAAGGGCAGGAGTTAGGACAGCAGAGGAGGGTGTGGGGTTAACTTGGGTGCCACAGTGGCACTTCCGAACAAGCCCCATGAACTCAGTACTGGTGCACAACACAACATTCATTCTGCTCATGGGAGGAAACTTAGAGCATGTGTTCCCAAACTGGGGGACGTGCCTCCTGGGGGGGGGCGCGGTGACCCTGCCACCCTCTCGTCAATCCCACCCCAACTTTTGCTGCTATTTTGGGGGGGGGGAGAGGGAGGTGGAGGCATGAGGATTTCTCAAATCAAAAAGGAGGTGTGATGCTGAAAAGTTTGGGAAGCGCTGTCTTAGAGGGAACACTTCCCCCAGTCTCGCTGCGCCCCTCCCCCCGAGTTACTGACACACACGTTGGGTTAATACAGTTGCAGGATAGTTGCGTGGGGGGGGAAGGGGGGGAGGAAGATGGTGGGAAAAGTTCTTGGGGGGGCGCATATGACGTCTTTTACTTCTGGTCATGTGTCCATCTTGACCCCCGCGAGCGTTACCTCCAGTGGCGTGGCAAACGGAGGTCGGGGTGTGGCTAATGGCGATCAGGGGCATGGTTAACAGGGGTCAGGGGTGTGGCTAATGTGTCCCTAATTTTGGTTCAGAAAATATGGTCACTATACTTATGAATATGTATGTAACCTGTGGAACGTGTATCAGATGTGAATGCAAAATACCCAGCTATCAAGGGGCAAGCCCCCTTGATGGCCCAGAAGTCTCAAAGTTTGTGTCACTGCCCCCTCTACCAGGGCAAAGGCGACCTAGGGGCCTCGGCCACAGGGTACTCATCCCTCAACAGGGATAAATGCGGCCTGGAGGCCTAGTTCATGGGTAAGTCCCTTTTATCAGGGTAAACATGGCCTGAACTCCCACCCTGAACCCCTCACCCCCAAAATCTCACTCTTATGCTCTTCCCCCCCACACACATACATCCCCGAGTTCTGCGCCCCTACACTGTCAGCCCCAGCCCTGAAGGATCCAGGCAACACCAGGTAAATCTGCTAGTAAAGTAAAAAAATAACACGCCCTGGTATCTCGTGCAGTTTTCAGTACTGTCATCTTGAGTGATGACTCTAAACCTAGTTAATGAAACACGCAAGCCATAAGGATTAGTTAAACTGAACTTTTTTGAGACTGTAGTTGTAGCATGTTTGACATGTGATTTAATTGTACCTTATTTTTTAAATGAGAAATCTAATATTTCAATGGTTTTAAAAAATCAAAATATGGTTTTTAATCAATTTGTATCCACCCTGCCTAAATGGCATCTCTAATGACTCATAACCCTTCCGTGACTGACTAATCACAAGGCTGAGGCCATGCGTAAAATACAGTGGTTGTAATGGCATGCTGCATGTAATCGTTAGGTTAGAACCCCTTTAGAGAAGCTGGACTTTCCCTTAACCTTAGCAAAGCATTAGTACACAGTGTTCTCAAATCAATGGAGACCCTGTGAAAGCGGCAAGGGCTGGTCTTTGAGAATTCCAGTGTGGTGATCATCTACGGGGGGAGAGGGGATGGCAGCATTTGATCTACAGACCTTCACATTTGCAGTCTATAGAATAGCACTGACTGACTAACTCAGTTCAGTTGTAGTACCTCTGAATTATTGGGATGAATTCAAGTGGAGGTTTCCTTCTTAGATTATAGAACTGAAAGGAACCTTGAGGTCGAAGTCCAGTCCCCTGACTCATGGCAGGTCCAAGGTTTCACAACCTCTCTAGGCAATATATTCTAGGGCTCATCCACCCTGACTGTTAGGAAGTCTTCCCTAACGTCCAGCCTAAATTTCCCTCGCTGCAGTTTAAGCCCATTGCTGTTTGTCCTAGCCTCAGGGGTTAGGGAGAACACTTTTCCTCCTTCCTTGTTAACAGCCTTTTAAAAACTTGAAAACTGGTATGTCCCCTCTGACTAAACAGTCGGAATTCCTTCAGTCTTCCCTCAGGGGTCACAGTTTCTAGATCTCTTCTCGGGCCTTCTCCATTTTGTCCACAGCTTTCCTGAAATGTGATGCCCAGGACTGGGGACAGACAGTTGAGGCCTAATCAGAGCAGGATGACTCCTCGTCTATTGCTCACAATATTCCAGTTAATACATCCCAGAATGTTTTGGGAGGGGTGTGTGTGTGTGTGACACACACACATTTAGCTTATGATCCTTTATGACCTCTAGATCCATTTCTGCAGTACTCCTTCCCATTTCCTGTAAATAATGAGGAGTCCTGGGGCATGGTAGAGACTAACAGTCTTCTAGGGCATAAGCTTTTGTGGGTAAAGCCCCCTTCATCGGGTGACTTGGAGTGGAGTTTAGAGGCCTGGGAGGTGTATATATAAGAAGAACAAAAGGAAAAGGGTTCTTGTTCCTTCTTAAGTGGTGACTTTCATTTGTCCTTACTGAATTTCAGCCTATTTACCTCAGACTATTTCTCCAGTTTGTCCAGATCATTGTGAATTATGACCCATCCTCCAAAGCACTCACAACCCCTCCCAGCCCAGTACCTCTGCACACCTTATAAGTGCTCTCTATACCGTTATCTGAATCACCAATGAAGATATTGAAAAGAATGGTCCCAAAACTGATCCCTGCGGAACCCCGTGTGGCATGCCCTTCCATCATGACTGAACCATTGAGAACTACTCTCTGGGAACGGTTATTCAATTTTTTTCCCCCTCTTCATTTAGTAATCGGCCTACCCCTGTCCTTGGTCTTCCTCTTGCTTCTGATATATGTGTAGAATGTTTTCTTATTACCCTTGGTCTCTAGCTCGATTGAGCTTGTTTTATGCCTTTCTAATTTTGCCACTCCATACTTGTGGTGTTTGGTTTTTAAGATTGTCTGGTGTCTTGGTGCCATTCTGGATTAATTCGCTCTGTATCTAGGTGTGATATCTGTGCTGATATTTAATCCACTTGATCAATACCATATTGTTACAGGTTTTTTAAGAATAGTTTATATAAAAACCTTGACCATCCCTGATAGGTGTACTTGGCCCTGCCTCAGTATGGGGGCCTGGACTTGACCTTTTCGGGTCTTTTCCATGATACGGCCATTAGCGGCGGCTCGTCTTACTGAACTCTGAACAGACAGCTTTTCAAGCATTTTGGGTAGCATTCAAAATACTGAAACCAAATAGCAACCTTATTTCAGCCAGGGAGCTGGGTGAAATTCTGGCCCCCATTGAAGTGGGTGCAAGCTTTGAGCAAACTCTGTTCAGCTGAGAACTAGGTGAGCAATTGGACAAGAGATTGAAGACCACTTCCATAAAAAAGCTTAAGGCAGCTGTTCTCTGTTACAATAGAGCTAAAGCCCCAGACCATGCAGGGTCCAGCTGTGCGGCACTTAATCTTGTGCCAGACAGGCAAACCCTTCCAGTCAAAATGGAGCTTTTCATGCTGGGGCCTGTAACTTTGGCAGGTCCCATGTTAACCTCAGGTGAGGATTAGCTGAATTGATCTCCCTGAGAGCACTTCGCCAAGATCTAGCGCCTGCCAAAGAGGTAACCAAGAGTGTGTGTGAAAGTGATTTGTTACGTATGCTTATCTGATTGGCCAATGCAGCTGCCTGCTGCTGTGGTGTGTACTATAACGTTGCTTCGCTTTATTCTAGACTGAAGGAGTCACAAAACGATTGGCAGAGAGAAACGATTTTGTATTGTTCCTGTTCACATTGATGACAAACAAAAAGACATTTCTACAAACGGCAACACTTATTGAAGACATCCTAGGAGTCAAAAAGGTCTGTGGATGTTCCCGATAACAATGGTTGTGTAACCATTCAGGCTTGTAGGGGGGAAAGTCAGCTGTGTTCATAGAATTTTTGTGAACATACATTGAAGAAAATGTGTCATTTAGTGTAGAAGTAAAACAGTGTGGGAGACTTTTCTAACCCTTTGTAAAACCTCGGACAGAGTACACTTACGGTCTTATCTACTCTGTGCTGTAACCAGGTCAGGGACCACAGTTAGGAGGTCTCTTGACACTGTTGCATTGGTAAGATAGACGTGCTTCTCTTTGCTGAGAACTGAAGAATGCATGTGTCAGGCTGCTTTCCAGATAGTCTTAAAAGGAGCCTTTTTGCCATAGGCTGCCAGTCCATGTGGTGGCTTTTCGTTTGCTCTGAGGTAATATTCAAGACTTTGTGCAGTGTCGCTGGGTATGAGAACAAAAGTTCTGCCTTAAAGGGATGCAAGATTTAAATTACTGGTAAGCAAGAAGCAGAGTGTTAAGAAAAATTCTATTACATTTGAAACAGCATTTAGTGGGTTGAACAATGAAAATACACTTGTCAGTTTGACTCGTTCTCATGGAATGAGGCTTGCTAATTCCACAACTTCTGGTTTTTAAAATGTTTGTTTGTACTCTAAAAATTCTATTCTGTAGCCCTGAATAATATGACCAGTATCCCTTCTAAGACGGAAGGAATACTGCAAACCTAAGTATTCCCCTTCCTCCGCTAATAGCTCTGCAGTGGTGAAATAACGAAAGTTGAACTTCAGTGTCCAAAGAATTTCTGCCTTCTCCGAGGGCTTTGGGCTGCAGGGCAGGGGTGGGCAGTAACGTCTGATGGGGGTGCCAATCCAAGGTTTTGGTGAGTGATCAAGGGCTGCACTTTTCTATGAGGGGGGGTGCAGGGTCTGGGACGGAGGTTGGGTGCAAAAGGGAACTGGGGTAGGGAACTGGGGTGCAGTAGGGGATGTGGGGTCTGAGGGTGTTGTGACCTGGGGCAGGGGATCGGGGTGCAGGGTCTGGGATGGGCTTTGGTGCAGGAGAGGATTCTGACCTGGGGGAGAAATGTTGGAGGGGAGAGGGTGGACGTGCCAGAGGCCAGCTCTGGCCAGGAGGCACTTACCTCAGCAGGTCCCAGCAAAGCAGCGTGCTCAAGCAGGCTTCCCTACTGCCAGAAGCCCCGTACTACTCTATAACATGGTGCTGTGCACTGCAAAATCTCAGCTAGGAGATTTCGCTGGGGGTGAGGGCAGCACACAAAGCCTTCTCCCCTCTCCTGAGCGCAGAGACACAGGGCGCAGTGAGATCACAGGGGCAGGCAGGTTAAAAGGCTTGGTGGGCCGGAGTTTGCCTGTCCCTGCTGTAGGATTTGTCTTTTCCTGAAATTCAATATTTATGGAAATTCTCACTATTGGGATGTACACTTTGATTCACTGTTCTGAAGCGTGCTTAGACACCTGGCCTGATCTTTCCGTCTGATTACTGTTCAGAATCTTCTCTTGCCACAGATGACACTATAACTTAAAAAATCCAACAGCGCCCTCTATCTAGGGATGCATTTAACTTCAACAAGTTTGAGGATACTGACAAACAAAATATCAAAATAGCTAAAATTGGATTTATGCTTCTTTTTTACAAGTCTGGGTCGGGGGGTTAGTAAAATGATCTCTTGTGAACTGGTGAACATTTGGCCTTTTAGCCTTAGTTTGGGATGCACAGCCCCTTTCAAATTGTGCCCCCCATCTACCTTTGTGTAGGACTAAATGTAAAACAATTTAATCCTGTTAGGGAAGGCTTTTACATATTCCCTCTGTTACTGTTGGTTTATTTCATCAAATGACCAATGCATTGTTTTGTCTTTTGTAGGAAATGATACAGCTAGAAGATATTCCCAATCTTGCAAGCCTAGTATCCAGTTTTGATCAACAGCAACTTGCTAATTTCTGCAGGATTCTTGCTGTCACAATTTCAGAGCTTGACACGGGGAGTGATGACAAACACACGCTTCTTGCTAAAAATGCACAGCAGAAAAAAAATTTGGGTCCTTCTCGAGCTGAAGTTAACCAAGGTAAAGTGTCCTGGGTACTGGAATGTTGCAGTCAAAGCATAAGTCCAGAGGAGGCAAAAAGGAAGAAAGAAATCTTCTCTCCATCCTGTCTGAGGCTTTTGTATTGTGATATTGTAAGCTTTCTTCATTTATGATGCCTGTTCCTTTCATTCTGCATTGCATGATGGCTCTTACAAAATCGCTACCAACAAAGAACCGTTTAGTTTGGTTATAATCATCACTTGCACTCTAGAAAGTAGCTGAGTAGGCGTTGATGGTTGATGTGGAGGGAAGATGGCTTGATGCTGTGCGCCAATATGGAGGTGATCGGTGACCTATATCGCTTCTGTATTGGGGCAGAATTCATTCTGCACATGGCGAGCGTGGGGCAGAGTTGGAGTGTGTGGCGGGAAGGACTCTGGCTGGGAGTGCAGGCACTAGGGGAGGGCTGGGAATGAGAAGGATCTGGGACAGTCTGCCCGAGGGAGGAAGAGGATCCCTGCAGCCCTCTCACCACAGTAGCTTGGGGCCAGGTGAGAGGTGCCTGTCCGTGGCTCCCAGCCGTGCAGCTTAGAAAGAAATTAGGTGGCCGGCTGGAATGTCTCTGCCGAAGGGGTAGCCAGTGTCTGCTGCCCAGGCAAGCATTTCAAGTAGCGTCAAGTGGCTTTAACTAATATTTTGCTCTCGAGCAACACGTCTGTCTCCTTCCCCTTAAGGAAAACAATAGCCGATTTGGCTCTGGCCACATCACCCACCAGTTGTTACTCCAGCACGGGGGAGAATGCAACTTGCCCCGGGAGGGATGCCCCGTGCATGCTGGTGGGAATGGGAGCTCTAGCCTGGGAGGAAGCAGTCCTACATTCTGTGCCTGTCCCTGAACTAACGTGGTTTGTGACTCTTAGGCAGCTTATGGGTATGTCCCAGTTTCCAGCTGAGCTGTGCTGGAAGGACTATGGATCGATCGCTCTTCGGGGACTTAGGATTTCTAGCCTGCACTTAGGCGTGTTAATCAAGACCCTCGTGTGACTCTCCAGGTCGATGCTTTTTCCCTTAGTTTCAGGAGTTAAGTTACCACGTTTGCAAGATGCTTTTGTGTTAGATAGCAGAAGGTGAAACCCGTGTCTGAGAACAGTCCGGACCACAGGCTGAACTAGGCATTGTTCTGTGCAGAACTTCAAGATGGGTCTAGTTGTTGCTGGAAATCCTTGAAGCAACATGTGTGCAGCTTTTCCGATTGAGTTGGTGGTTTCAGAATAAAACAGTGTTGCAGGTTAAATAATTTAAGCCGTTTCAAACAGTCCTAGGTGCAATCTGTTGGTTCCCGTTTTGAGCTTAGATTTTTGGCAGAACAACGCTCGTATTAAGGACAGTGAATTAAACAAATGGCGGAGATAGTTGTATGCATAACTTCTTGCATTTAAAGTCCCTCCCTGATGGGTCGTGATTTTGGCTTGTTTCCCCCAGAGGTACCTGATGACCGTTTGGGAAGCATTGGGAGCCGAGAGTGCTCAGCATCTTTGAACATCCTGTGAACTTTCCTGTTGGCTTGAACACCTTGAAGTTGCATCTTGAAAGTTTCTCTGAGGCTCCTGGTTTACTATAAACCTTCTAGGCTTTAACCGTATAGTCATTGAAATGCCGTCAGCGGGAAGGTGGACTGGTTTCAGTCTTCGTGCTGAAATTCTTTGAAATAGCAGCCCCAGGCTCTGTGGTGTAGGGACTCCAGGAGGCTCCTGTACTTAGAATCCTAGCACACTATGGCTGGAAGGGACTTGAAGGGTGGAGACCAGTCCCTGCCCCATGGCAGGACCCAGTGCATTGAGGGGTCGCAGTGTCTTCTAAATGTTCAGCTTAACCCACATCTGCAAATAGCAAATTCAAGCCCTGCAAGTGGGCTGGCCAGGAGAGATCCTCCTTGCCCTTCTCTGCAGTTGTTCCCTGCGCTCTACACTGGCTGTGGGCAGCAGAGTAGCTGCCTCGGAAGCTCCCGGTAAAGCGTGTGCTCAAGTGGTGGCTGCTGGATGGTGGCCAGCGGCTGATCTGTGCTGCAGTAAGCCCTTACGGCTGGCGTGCCAAGGACCCCGCTGTATTCAAGCGAATGTGCACGTTTTGAGGCTGATTGAGCAAGTTAACCGAATAAGTCCTTGATCCTACAGATGCTTAACTCTTGGGCACTGCCGGAGTCTCCACGCACGCTCAAAGGTGAACCATGTGCACGCTTGCAAATTCTTATACAATTACATTGGAAATGTGGGGTTGTTCTAACTTCAGAATTCCATAACTGATGTGCTACTGTTGATGCAGCTGCTGAAAATGGCCCTTCATGGGCTAAGGGCCTTGCTGTTGAGTGCACAAAGATGAAGATTTAGCATAGGAATACATCTAACCGCTCTGTATTAGATGATAATGAAGACCTGATAATATGTATCTTTCCAAAAGTCTTTGAAAAACAAAAATTCAACATCAATCCACCCTGGGTGGAAAAGGATTTAAATCACCAGTTTTTAATCATGAGTTAAAGCAGCAAGCAAGAAATCTTGATTTAAATAATTGATTTTGATCTTCTTTTGCATTGTGCTTTAGTTACTTTCCTTTAGTTGATTTGCCATGGGTGGTAATCATTAGGACATGTGGCGGTTTTGGGGGGGGTTCCAACTAAATATAGCTTCTCTGCTACATTGGGTACTTCATTTTGCCAACCAGAAGGCTATCTTGTATCTCTACATTTATTTAAGCAGTTATATAGATTTAAGAATGTGGAAATATGTTAGGAAATGATGAATGATGTTGGTCTTACATTTTTTTTTAAACTTGTGTCAAACGCTATTTGGATGGAAATTGGATATCAATTAAAAATGCAAAAACATTATTTTATTGATTTAAAGCTACCTTAAACTTCCTCTTATATGTAAGTATTCTCTGTAGTTTTGAATTGTACTGATCATCATGTCCTTCATGGAGGGGGGAACATTTCAACTCGCAATCAGTTTTTCTTTGAATGAGCTGGGTACTGAACTGAATTAGTTGAAAAAAGGGAAATGAAAGAGAATTCTTTGCATCTGTAGAAGAGGCAACTTCTGTTAGCCAGTTTAACACTTCAACAAATTGTGGTTCAAGGTCCTTAGCCAATTACTTGCATCTGTTCAGTGACCTGGTTCTTGAAAACTTCAGTAGTAAATGCATTGGTTTTGGGGAACGTTTTTCTCTTATTTAAAGAGTGTATGGTAAGTTTAGCCTGAGTTTAATTGTAAACGAGTAGATGAAAACCTATGTTGTTTCACAGAGGTAGTCTGTAAAGGGTGGGGACTTGTAATTATTTTTAAGAAAAAATGGAGAACTTGACAGTAACAGACTGCACATCCAGGGGATGATGGAATCTGGTCTTTTAAAGAAAAGTTCTCCTCCATATAGTTTGCTGTTGTATCACTTGACATTGACTCAGTGGATGTTCAGAGTTGAGTTACTGCATGTGCTGAGACGGGTGGTGGTTGTATTGCCTTGGGGGGTTGTGTAGATTTGCACAGGTGGCCACTAGGACTGGGTGCTGCCGTGAGGGTGTTTAAGGCTGTTGTAAGCGCTGCTGGCTGTGGCATGAATGGTGTTGAAGAATTGTAGCAGTTGAGCAAGGGAATCCACCCTCTCTGCAGTCTTCCTCATACAACTGGTGAAATTGTTGCCTGTTAATGAGCTGCTGAGTGGTGTTTGGTTGAGTTCCTTCGGATATCACAATGGACGTGGGCCAATGTTCCCACTAATCTTTTCCATCCATGTGCAGAATAAATTTGTGCACCAAGCCATGTGCTAATGTGCACCACCAATAGAAACACAAAACCTTGCTCTGGGCGCTCCTCTAAACAGCTGAGCAGTATTTGAATTTCTCTTGGGCAACTGCACAAGTGCACAACTTACAGGGAACACTGACGAGGACTCTTGAGGTGGCAGGTTTTATTTATAGCAAGTTTAGGCCTTAAATCGTAATAGCCCATGTTAATTTCAAACGAGCTGTTGCATGGGTGTACTGCATAAAGTGAAAATGGCTGAGAAACTTAAATATGGGACAGTAACAGACTGAATCCCGGTGGTGATGCAACTTGATATTCTTAACAATGTTCTCAACCACGTGTGTAGCTGTTTCCATAGCTTCATGTTGACGTACCAGATGTTCCAGGATTAAAAATCCATTTTTTTTAAATGATTTGTTTGCCCAACCTGTCGTCTCTCTCTACCTGGCCTCCCTCTTGCTGCTACTGATGGCTCATCAAGAAACCAAAATTTGGGCGTTATCAGCAATATACAATTGGTTGTACATACTGGTTTGTACTTCGATAGGAGCATTTTGGAAAGTGAATTTGCCGTCTGGTATGTAGTCTTCGTTGGTGGTTGACTTGTTTTTGTTTTCCTATTGTAGCTACGCTCTTGAATATTCCCGGCTTTGTTGAACGATTATGCAAGCTGGCAACAAGGAAAGTATCAGAAACAACGGGTACTTCCAATTTTCTCCAGGAGTTAGAGGAATGGTACACCTGGCTGGACAATGCACTCGTTCTTGATGCCCTGATGCGAGTAGCAAATGAGGAAGCAGAGCAGAGCAGCACAGGTATCTGTCTCAAATCTCTATACCCATTGTTTACTAATCTATAGTTTCACTTGTAGAATAGCCGGGTTCCTTCCCCCGCCTTCTTTAAAAAAAAAAAAAAAAAAAAAAAAAACCCAACCGTATGGAACATAGTATACCTTGATATGTCTCCTATTTTACTCCGATGTGTTGAGTGGATTTTTGTACCTCTATCCTGTGGAAAAGTTGACATTTCAGCTGTCCAAAGAGCTCCTTCTGTAGCGCTATGCCTACAGTCCTCAGAATCCCTCTTCCACAAGAAGAATGTTTTATTTCCATTTTACAGATGGGAACAACTGAGGTATGAGTTAAGCAATTTCCTCCAAATCTTCAGCAGCTTGGCTGCAGCACTGCTTTACAATCCAAGCGTTCTGGCATTCAGCGCTATGCTCAGGCAACTCAGTGACCTTCATACAATGAGAATTAATTTGGATAAACTGTTTATTTCAACAAATTACTTATTTTACATCATCTCAATGCAGCTGGAGATGGCAGCTCATACAAATGTAGGGCTGGAAGGGACCTGGAGAGGTCAAGTTCAGCCCCTGTGCTGACAAAGAACCAAGTAAACGTCAGCCTTTCCTGAAGAGTATTTGTCCTATTCTTAGTCTCCAGTGATCTTCCATCCTTTCCTTGGAAGCCTGTTCCAGAGCTAAATACCCTTGGGGTTAAAAAGCTTTTCCTGATCTCTAACCCAGCTCCTCCGTGCTTCCTATTAAGCTCATTACTTCTTGGCCTTCCTTCAGGGGACACGGAGAAAGTGGTTTTTTCGAGTGCTAACCCTGCAGGTGCTGCACTCTAACCATCCGTACATCCTTGCGCCAGTGATGGGAGATTTTTGCTAGCCAGGCCTGGCCGTGCTGCACATGCTCAGTTGTCTCGTGGGGTCATTGGCGCCCACTTCTTGTGTGTGTGTGCAGCCCCCTCAGTTCTGTCTCTGCCGTCCCCGGGGCTGACTCCTTCACCCTGAAATGTGAGATGAAAACCTTGCAATAGTTATTCCCGCCACCTCCCCATAGCCCGCCCTCCCTCTGCTTAAAAAAAGGGGAGAGGGAATAAAGGTTTTTTTTAAAGCCCTTCCTGTTGTAACCCGTCGGATGATTGCTCCATTTAACAGGCAGCATGCCGGGCTGTTCCTGTCATTTGTGATGGACACTTACATAAGAACGGCCGGACAGGTCAGCCCAAAGGTCAATCCAGCCCAGTGTCCTGTCTGCCCACAGTGACCAATGCCAGATACCCCACAGGGAATCCTCACAGGATCCCTCCCGTCTCCCACTTCAGGCTTGGGCTGGGGTGCCCGGGCTGGGGTGCCCGCCCTGTGGGACTTGGGACCCAAGGTCTGTGGTCACAGGCGGACTTGTCCCTTCTCGTCTGTGTCGGGGCTCAGGGCAGCGAGGCTGGTGTCCGACGTTGTGCTCGTTAAACACGCCGGTGTTTGTCATGACACAGCACCATAGCAATTGTCTGTATCTGCGAACAGGGCCGTGTCGCGTACCTTCGCCTTGCATCGCACGGACATTCGGCAGGCTGGCGGCTGCTTCCTGTGGCCAAGCTGTATAACAGTCTGTGGTTAGCACTGACCCCACCTCTGAACCGCCTGCTTGCGAATCACCTTATTGGAGCACACACAAGCAGCCAAAGAAAAAACGGCTACATCCCTTCTCGTGACTGTTGTGCTTTGGGTTGTGATGCTCTAGCTATTCCAATTAGCGCTGTGCACATGCACGGTAGCGGGAAGATTTTCCCATAGCAGCGCCTGTAGCGTCAGCCCGGGTGCCTCTGGGAGTATCGCCTTCGTGGTACCCACTATAGAGCCCAGGCCAATAGAGCGCCCTGTTGACCCAACCCCTCCTCAATTGCTTCTTGCTGCCTGCTCCAACAGAGGGGCGGTGGGACCGGCATTGCAATGGACATGAACAACACATCTTTCCAACTCAGAGCATGGCTCCCCCATGGTAGAAACCTCTTCTGACAGAGTAAACACTATTACTAAATAGCTGTTGTCCCACAGTGAGAGACTCCTGTGTACGTGGAAAAGATTCTCCCTGCAGTGCCAACAAAAGCAAGTGTCTCCTACCTCAGCGCCCTCTTTACGGTCCAGCATGTCATTGCGTATCATGCGGAGTCCTGAGCACCCTTGCGGCTGTCATGACTCTTCATGAACCGATGGGCAGCTCGTTCATCTTCTCCCACCGTATCACCAAGAGCTTTCTTATGGGAATCCAAACACGTCCTGAAGTGCAGGGCGAACCTTACGCCACCCTGGGACCTTAACCAGGTCCTTAGGGGTCTCCCAAGCCCTCCATTCGAAGCCTGGGCCTCATGCTCCCTCCTGCACATGTCGATGACAGAGGTATTCCTGGCGGCGATCCCCTCTGCCAGTTGAGTAGGTGAAGTAACAGCCCTTACGGCAGACCCTGCCCACACTAGCTTACGAGAGAAAATCTCACTCTGGGCAAAATCTTAGGGTGCAGGCAAAGTTGCTTCCATGTTCCACACTTATGAACCTGTACGCTTGCCTGCGTGCTTTCCTAAACCACACAAGGACGCCCTCGAAGCTTCCCATCACACGCTCAGCGTCAGACAGGCTGTGGCCCTCTCCTGGGTAGAACCAAATCATTCCACAAGTCCACAGGATTGTCTGTCTCCAGCGACCGGAAGGTGCAGCAATCTCTTCCCAACGACTCTCCAATGGGAGATCTAACTGTGTTCACGCCTGCTACACAGGACACACAGGGAGTCCCAGTGCTCGTCACTTGTGCTGTCCCCCTTAGCTCTGTCCTTCAGCATTGTACTTCCGGAATGGGTTTTCAGAAGCAGTGAGTATTGGCCTCACTGCAGCCCCCACTGAAGATAGCTGGCCGTGAGGTAAGCTACCTCTAATTCACGATTTCTTGTGCAGGGGTAAGAAGTGACACATTGTCATTAGGCATTTCACATTTATAATCTGTTAGTTTTGTGTGTGAAATGCTCTTTGGCTTATCAGAAAGCGAGTTATTTAACAATATATTTGAGGTACAAAATATAATGAAGGATCCTAATATTCTCATCTAAACTACCAGTGGTGCATTTTTCCCATAGAGAGAGTCTTGCAGCAAACGTGGGATTGCTTATTTGTCTCGTGACACATCTTCACTTTTGCTAGGAAGATCTTGAAGCAAGTGTCCCGCACATGCAGAATTGTGGTGTTTGCTATTATGTAAAGCTGTGACCGGCCCTCTCCTGTTAGTGCTGCTTTGGGCTTATGTCTCTGACCTCTTATCTAGAATCTTCAGATGAAAGTGGATTGGCCAACACCTCGGCAAGAACTCAGCTGCCGCAGTCCATGAAGATCATGCATGAGATCATGTACAAGCTGGAGGTGTTGTACGTTCTCTGTGTATTGCTGATGGGGAGACAGAGGAATCAGGTAAGTGGCTACCTAGGTGTTCGTCGAACATTCTTTCTCTGACTGCTAGACCGAGGTGAAACCTACCTGGACCCACCACCATGTGCTCCACATTTTGTAGTGATGCTGTACCGAAGTCACTGGTTAGAAAGTACCCAGGCCATGGATTTCGTTGCTATACAGAATGCCAGCTGTGGCAATGATTGACTAGAATCCAATTAAAAACGCGGCGCGGCCTGTTTGAGTTGGTCTAAACAGCTGGCCAGTTTGAGGAAGATGAGTGAAATGAGATGGACTGCTGGAAAATAGTTCTGCTTCCTGGAACGCATGGGCTTTGTCGACTCTGCTGTATTTAAATGAGTGATGATATAGCCCCTGCCATGGATAGCTGCCAGCCTTGTTTTAATGCTCACTGGAGCTTCATTTGCTCTGTGGACAATCCTTGGTAACTCAAACACCCAGCAGTCTGCAGGAGTTGAGGGTAGGAGTCTGCCGGGAGCCTGGCGTTGGTGGGGAGGGCACTCGGGAACCAAGACTGCCCTAGTCAGGTTGGGAGTAGATCTCTAGATGGCACCTCACCTCACGGGACGGCACAAAGCTCCCTGCCTCCCGTAACCCCCTGGCCTTCTCCCTCCCTTCACTCATGAGGAGTGGATCCCGCAGCACAAGTATCCGGCGTGACTGGCTGTCGCCCTCGTGTCACATGGCACCCCCCATCTGGGCCTTGGCAGCCTAAGAGGGGTGCTCGAGGGGTGGTGACTGTAGCAGGCCCCCTTTGCTCCTGCCTCTGCTGCTTTTAGCAGCCACTCC